CCAATGCTCCTAGCAAAAGGAACCAGTTTGGACACCAACAGTTTGGGCTCTTGAATTGCAACAAGACAAACATCATGCAATTTAATGAGTTTCTTTAATCTCCTCCTCTTAGCATCTTTACCTGCCCCTCTCATATTCCATGATAGAAAATTAATCATAAATTCATAGAAGAGTGGACACCACTGGAACTAAATCCATTATCATCCTCATTTCCATCCAAAGAACTACCAGAATTATCAGAATCAACATTTACAACCTTCTGAGTCCTAGAACTAGCTTGATCAGAGTAGTAACCTTTATCTGGAGGTTCTCTTACTCTAATCAAACCATTCTGATCATCTAAAGACTTCTGACTCCCTCTTATAACAGTCATTCCATTTTCAACTAAAAAGGAAGAACCCAAAGATTGAGCATAAAGAGTTTTACACTCTCCAAGAACTTCCATTAGGTTGACATCATTCAAACTCTGATTAAGGGGAACTAGTTTTTCCCCTATATTAACATTGTTTCCATCAATATCTCCCACATTTACCACCTCATTAGCAACAGGCAAAAAGATAGGAGATGAAGAATAAGAAATCTCCAAGTTAGTACCTTCATGATCTGGCAGAATAGGAGATTCCAGACTGATGCCAACATTATCAGTGCCATCACCCTCTTGATTTCCACAATTCACAACCATTGGGGAAATATCAAGAGACCCAACCTCAACACCCACAACATCATGAATCAAAACAGCATTTGCAATATTACACACATTGATCATCTCATGTGGAACTGGATCAGTGATCAGTTTATCAGCAACAGATGCTCCAATATCAGGACTCTTATCAGCACTGAATGTCTGCTCCATTACAGCCATATTCCTAGCATTTTCCATATCCTCCATTCCATTCACCTTTGCATTTCCCACCTCAGCATCAACAGTTGTAATATTTGGATTTGCAGCATTATCAATATTCACCATAATAGCAGAAGATAATCCATTTTCANCCATTCACCTTTGCATTTCCCACCTCAGCATCAACAGTTGTAATATTTGGATTTGCAGCATTATCAATATTCACCATAATAGCAGAAGATAATCCATTTTCAATAACCTTTTCAGGTAAACTTTCAGATAAATTCCTGCCATTATCCATTTCCTCCATTCCAACCTCCTCATTCAGTACAGCAAAGCTATTCTCCACAGCAGTAGTTTGATTCATGGATTTCTGTCTATATTCCTTTCTGGGATGCACACTCAGTCCATCTATAACAATAGCTTTTCCTTTCTTTTTCCTCCATTCCTCATCCTTGTTAA